TACAAAAGGGTTATGTTAGGGTGCTCATACTTTGGAGTAATGGAAAATTGTTTCATGCAGGTTGGACCGCATTTCTACATATGCGGTCAGTAAGTGTAAAGCATCTATCTTAAATATAGATGCAAGTAGGTGTTCCGTCTAAAAATAATAGAAACTAATGGTCCAAATGTTTTCATAATAGAATTATTATTTCTATTTTTTATTTTCATATTCATGATCTCCATGTTAGAGATTATATATCCTTAAAACATAGGTCTTAAAATCCATTTCAAAAATAGATTTATTAATAGGCTTGCATTTCTACATATGCGGGTTTGGTTGCATCAAAACCAAGTCCATGGAGTAATTTATCATCATATTCAACAAATTTTGGACACTTCTATATCGTTGTTTTGTATATGGAGTATTTTTTTAATAGGGATATTTTTTGTCATTAGAAGGGGTATGACGTCATCTACACGGGGTGTGACATCAGTGGCTGATATCACATCCCATGTAGATGACGTCACACCAATGACCAAAAATACCCTTATTGAAAACAAGGTTAATGTACAAAACAATAGTATATAAGTGTCCAAATTTTGTTGAGTATAATGATAAATTACTCCATAGTGTAAGTACCCTAATATAACTCTTTACAAAATTGGTTTATTGTTAAGATATTAAACGATTTTAATATCTTTTCCAATAAAGGTATTAGTTATCTTGGAAAAAAAAAAACATGACTTTTGTGGTACATTTCTTTTACTTTGGTATTTAATATAGGCAGCGGTTTGTATAGAGACGAGACTCTAAACAATTAAATGACAACCTACCTTCAAATAGTATCAAGAAATATGGTTTTCATACTGAAAATTTTTGTGATAGCTTTAAAAAATATTTTCATCTTTAATTATAAAATTTAAAGCTTAAAAAATAATGTATATCAAGCAAATCTATGAAAATCTTAAAAATTGACGGTCCAAAAATATTACAAGATGCACTATTTTTAAAACTTGAAATCCGTTTTTTTCTTATGTCTATGCACCTTTATATCCAGATGATCAATTTGATGAAATTTGTTTAAATTTTTGAGATAGACTCTAAGTTGATTGTTTAGATCCTAGGCTTTATATAAACTTTTCCCTAACACCAAAAAGATTCATAAACATGTATAACTGCCACCTAAAATGCTCCCTTAAGAGTATACTATGTAATTACTCTATCCAAAAAAACCTACTTATAGTATTCATAGGTCTGAAATTTAATGAACTGCATTTTAAAATGAGTATTTCAAAAGGAAAAGTGGAAATTTTAAATTGTTAATAGAACTTTTAGGCGATGGATCATGTAGCTAGAGGACCATAAAACACTTATAAGTTAGACTATTATTAATTACTAGGAAAAGTATTCTGTAGTGACCGGTGGTAGGGTGCGCAAGCACCCTTCCAATGGTTGAGATTTCGTTGGGCCGTATCCAACGACAGAAAATTAGATTTGTATTTTATTTTTTTATTTTTTATTTAAATAATATATTTATCTGAATTTTGAATTTTAAGCATATTTTTATAAATATAACTAAATAAAAATGATTAAAAATATTTTAAGTAATAATGACTAAAATACCTCTATATTTGTTTTGGTCAATATTTTTTTTTTTAAAATGTTTTCTTTATTAATTTCAGTCAATCTTATAAAAATAAACCTAAAACAAAATTTTCATATTAACATAATTTTTAAATAAAATTTTTTTGAAAAATGAGATTTTTTATTGGCCCTTGGATAAGTATATGATTCAATCTGAACCATTAAAATGTCTATTGTTGTAGACGCAATAGCAAACCTAATTACTATTCTTTACCTCATGAGTGTGTTATTGTTGTCCTTAAAAATTTGAATTTGAGTTCTCCAAACCTCAAAACAATTTCTTGAATGCCACGTGGTGATGAACCTGGTGGCGTGTGAGATGATATGTTCTTGTATATGTGTTCTTCTTTTCTTTAGAATAAAGTTCTGAGAGTTTTTTCTCTCTTTGTTTTTATTTTGATGTGGTCCACTAGGTAAAGACAAAGACTTTCCCCTATGAAAAATCGACGATCTTTATTTGGTTTATTATGTTTCGTCCCACAACTCTAAATAGACTCACTTCATCATATTTTTTTTCCAATTACTTGTGGTGCACCTATTTCTAAATAAGTTTAGAAAAGGTTTATACAAGGTTGGTTACAACTTCAAACTGTAGAAAAAAGACACGCCTATAAAAAACGTACATCTCGTAATATATTATTTAGACTGTCCGTTCTCAAGATTTTTATGTATTTGTAAATCGACTCGATGTGCATCATTTTTTTAGATTTAAATTTCATAATCGGATGTTAAGTAGTTTTCAGTTGAAGCTAAAAGAGAATGGAATGCCTAAATAGAGAAAATAAAAAATCCAACTTCAAAAGAACACAGTTAGGTAGGAGGATTTTATGAGTGAGTTTTAGTAAGGTAGGAGTTGTCACCCAGAGGTCTATATTTTGGTTTAGAAAATAACTTATATTTTAAGTTAAGTAGAAATTATTTTTCGTTACTTTTTAGAAAGAGAAGATAAATAAGATTTAAAACGATTGATGAGATAGAGATTTATGTGGGAGTTAGAGAGAGAAGGAAGAATGAAAAGGTGGCATGTGAGTTTTAGAGAGAGAGATATATAGTTTATGTTTTTGGGTTTATTTATTTATCTTCTAAGTGTATTTAAAGGAAAAAGTCCCTCATTATAAAAGAAGAGAGATTGGAGATTAAGTTAAGAGTTGATCTTGTAAACTGATTTGTTTTAGTAGACTCCCTTGCAGACCTAGATAACAGGTATTTTCTCTCATCTTTTTGTTTTTTTTTTAATCATTCTGGTTATCGTTTTCTCTTTACTTCAGTTGGTATCAGAGCTCTAAGATCCATGCTGATAACAAATAACTGATGATCTAAGTATGGAGTTTTTAAATCAAATATTTGAGAGATTCAAAGAAGACCTAGTAGTGCATATTAACAAATTTATAGAACAAAGTCTATGATATCTATTTCATAGTTGGCAATATGAGGAAAAAGAAGAAGATCAAGAATCAACCAATAATCCAAACATTGGATTTGAGTAAAGAGAAAATAATTGGATTTGAGAAAAGAATTTGGGTCTTTGTAAAAAGATCTTTTGGGTGGACTCCCTTGCAGACCTAAGGAGATTGTATATTCTCTTAACCTTTTTATTTTTTATTTTTAATTCTGGTTATTATTTTTTCACTGCCTTAGAAAGTATGTTCTGATATACGATCAGAGGCAAGATCTGGTTTCAGATGGCAGTTTCATATGGTTTTCTTATGATGGTTTTCACAAAGTGGTTATATTTATATATATATACACAAAAAGTTGGTATAGTTAAAACTGTAGCTTTTAAATCTTCAAAACATCTTCAGAGCAATGTTTGTAACCTCAGACTCGGGCAAGTCCATTACCAAGTTCCTCGGTCTTGGCCCCCTGCAGGGCTCGTAACCCTCCCCATCTCAGATTTATATTAAAATGGTACTGTACCTGGGGCTAAGTTACTGTAGAAACTCGCCTAAATACTGTAGCAATTCGGTCAATTTTTTGCTTAATTTCCTAGTTTCATGGACTTGATAAATGGAAGAGTTCAACATAATTTTTTGTCGAATTCAAAAAAATGCAAGTTTTTCATGGTGATTGGTTTCTTAAGCCTAGTTTTGCATTCTTCATCAAATGAAAGGCTTCTTAAAAATAAAATACAAAAAAATTGCACTTGCAATCCTTTTAAGGACAAGGTTTATATGCGGCCAGCTCGCATATTGTAGAAATGCAAGCTTGGCAATAAATATATTCTTAAATATAATTTGATCCTAATTTTAAGAGAATATATAATCTTTAGATGGACCACCTATTTGCATTCATCTTTAAGATGACTACTTTATACGTTTGGACCGCATATTCTAGAAATGCAGGCCAGCCCGCATGAAACATGTTTCCATACTTTTACTTTGGATTTACTATTCACACAGTTTTAGAGAGCTTGGGTTCATCACATCCGAACTCCAAACCAGAATCTAGTTTGGGGGTTTTGATATGGGTCATTTAAGAACACTTTGACAAATACCGAGGCATTGATTCATACCGAGCACAAGGATTGGAGGATCAATGGTAATGGAGATGGGGCATTGTGGTTAAGGGGGGTGATGCCTCAACATAACGTCCCACCCTCCATTCCCACCGTTAATTAATATGTACAAAAAGAAAAGAGAGAAAAAACGAAGAAGAAAAAGATTGGAAGATCAACCTTGAAATGTCAAAATTTCAAAGTCAACAACATCAATTTTTTTTTACAAAAGTTCTGCAAAATGTTTCCAAGATTTTTGAAATTTTTCTTGTGCATATCGATGAGTTGGGGCAACTACCCAAATCCTTAATCTTTAAGGGCATCAAACAAAAGGAGAGAAGTAAATTAATGTTCAAAAAAATAAAATAAAAAAGTAAGGTAAATCATAAAGGAAAATTAAAAAACAAGAAACAACCTCGTAAGGAAAGTGCAAAATCTTTCCTAGCAACCTAAACTACCCATGGAAATTTGAAACAAACATAATTTTGTTCCCCTTAATTTTTATTGATCGCCAAAATTTGAAACAAACATAATTTTGTTCCCCTCAATTTTATTGAAGGCCAAAATTAGCAATAAATTCCTCAAATTATACTTAACCAAGCAAGCCTTACTTAGGAATTGGAATAATGAAAGTTTCATTAGAAAAACCTTCTGTCTCTCTCTCTCTGGTTCCCTTCTCTTGCATTCAAAGTCACACAACTTCCATTACATTTCACCATAAAAGTAGCCAACAGAAGACGAGGAGTAAAGCCAAGTCACTTCAGGCATCAATTTTTAATAAAACATATGTAAACACCAAGGCCCCACTTCCAAAACAAACAAAAGAGAAATAAACAAAAAAAAAAAAAAACTTACCCCCAACTTGCTTTAGATGGAAGAAAGAAAAAGAAAAACAAAGACCTACGAATACATACAGCCTCTGCTTCCTATATAATTTTCCGATTATGAGGCTTAGGAATGTACAAGGACTAAAGATGGAGATGCAGGATGAGGATGCACTTGGCCAGGCTGAGTTCTGGCAGATCACCTTAGCTTTCGTCGACAGTCTCACATTCAAGTGTGCAGTCGAGCTCGGCATACCCCAGATAATCCATGCCAAAGGTCAACCCCTCACCCTCTTAGAGATCATCACCTCACTGCAAGCTCCCTCCCCCGACTCAAGTTGTCTCTCACGAGTCATGCGCTTCTTGGTGAAGAAGCAGGTGTTTAGCGAAGAGGTGAAGGAGGGTGAGGCCTACTACAGGCTCACTCGTGCCTCCAAATGGCTGGTGAGGCTGGGGGCATCGGGCCTTGCTCCCATGCTCACCATGCTGAACCACCCTATTTTCCTTGCACCATGGCACCGCTTTAGCCGTTGTGTGGTGGAAGGGGGTGATGCCTTTGAAATTGCTCATGGTAGCAAGTTATGGAAGTATACAGCAAATAATCCTGGTGCCAATGACATATTCAACGAGGCCATGGCTAGCGACACTGTGGTAGTTCTTGAAGCCTTGCTCTCTTAGTATAAATCAGGGTTTGCAGGATTGACGTCATTGGTTGATGTAGCTGGTGGTACAGGGACCGTGGTGAGTGCGATTGTGAAGGCGGACCCGCATATCTCAGGGATCAATTTCGACCTCCCGCAAGTTGTGTCGAGTGCACCAGAGCATCCGGGTGTTGTTCATGTCAGCGGTGACATGTTCATCTCTATCCCTCATGCCGATGCAGTTTTCATGAAGGTATTGGCCCATTGCATACTTTGTCTTGGACCTTGGCCGAGGTGAGTTATTCGGCGGAAAGTAACCGTCTAAGTTCATGTCATATTGAAAAAAAAAAGGATAATAAAATGAAATAAGGTATATATATAATAAGATACTTATCTTTAACACAAATATTTAAATTGCTTATTGGGAAAAGGTGCACAGGGGACTTATTTTTTATCTTTTAATAAAAATAGAAACATTTATTGTTCAAAAAAGTAAACAAATGGGATCCAGCCAGGGGGGATTAAAACCTTAGACATAAAATCGGTACGTAGAGGCCGAGTAACTTGGCGGGGTCCGAGTCTCCTCTGCAGAGCCCTAAAATAGTGATTTCTCCTTTATTTGTCGTAGTTTTCTGACTAATTAGACAGTCAAGAAGAAATTTTGTATCCTCATCTTTCTCTATCTCTTTCCTCTCATTGATTGCCAAAAAAATTTGGGATGTAACGCTCCCTCCATTCTATTCTCCTCTCCCTCCCCTTCTGCAGTTGAGTAAATAGTTCATTTCAAATTGGTGCAGTGGATTTTGCACGATTGGGACGAAGACAATTGTGTGAAATCTTGAAGCAGTGCAAGAAAGCAATCCCAAAGAAAAGTGGGAAGTTGATCATCGTCGACGTGGTCTTGCGTCCTGAGGATGATACAAGTGCTTTTTCAGACTCAAGGTTGGCATATGACCTCGAGATAATTGCATTTCTATTAGGAGGCAAACAAAGGACTGAAAAAGAATGGAGGGCTCTATTGTGCCAAGGGGGTTTCAGCAAATGCAATATCATATCTCTTCCAACACTTCAGTCCATTATTGAAGCTTTTCTGATGACTAGTACTCTCTGTGTTACTCTGTAACCTTCATGTAACCATGATTCTGATTCTGGTTCTGGCTTGTCTCTTCTTTTGTTAAACTACTATAGAAACAAAAGTTTGTTATGTAAAATAATTTCACCACTTGCTTGATTTGGGAAACAGTCACCAACTTTGTTTTGGTGATGCGAAATTCCTAACTTTGTTTGGTGATGTAAAATTCCATCTAGGAAGTCTTATAATAAGACAATTGTCTACCCAATTTATTATGGGAACCAATGCTGTAGAACTCGGCTCAGGCAGCCGACTCGCCCCTGGCCTAGCCAAGTTACAATGGTAAGTCACTAGGCCTCACGCAAGTTAAGCTCGAGTCCACCAAGGGCTCCGGAAAATCAAATATTTTTGGGGAAAAACCCAATAAAATCATAAAATCACTGATTAATTTATATTATGAAGGAGAATTGACATAAAAAATAGAAACAATTTTGGCTTGCAAGACGGCCATATTTTCTTACCCTTCCTTTTACTTATTGATCTTGCACAAGTTCCCTTCTTGGGCTCTTGAAAATAATAGCAATCACATTAATAAAGGGTCGTAGAGAGAGATAGATCCACGCTAACCACACAGGAAGATACCAAATAACTTAGTAATTCTCACAATCACCGGCCAGCAATGGATCAGCCGTGATAGATCCGTCTGCTTTGATATTATGTAAAGAGTGTAATAACAAAATAAAAAACATAAGTTCGACAATCATGCCTACATCCAGGAAAGGTATACCAGTTTTTCATTCATATGAATTATTCTAGTTTATCAGAGATTTATAGAGTTACAATTCTTATCTTTTAGAAAACAAATATCTTGTAATCCACAAAATAAAAAATTTAATATTTTGCTGTTATAACATTCAACAACTAGAGAAGGGGATCGGTCTGGTAAAGGAGATGCAATACATATCCCTGACTATTGAAACTGACTCGAAGCTTGAGTCAACGCTATAGGGCCCCATGGAAACCATGTATTATCATGGCAAATTGCAAATTTTGTCTAAATTTTTCGCATACCATCAATCGCACATCGAACATACTTACAAAAAGGCTAATATGGTTGTTGACTCTCTACCTAAAGAGGCGGTATCTAGGAATGAAGCAACGGTGTAGCGTGCTCGTCCGTCATGTTTGCCTTTTCTTTTATCTAATGTTGCCAAAGTTCCCTTCCTAAGGGTTATAAAAGGTTTGTTCATGTAACTTTTTTTTTTTGAGTTCTTAATAAAACGAGTAGGGCCCAACATCCCCACTGATTCACCCAAAAAAAATAAAGTGGATATGCTTTTTTCTTCTGTAGACATGGCCTAAAAAGGTGAACAAATATCGGTGCCAATAAATTATTTTTACTTACTTTATTGCATATTTTTGTACTCATGCACACACACATCATCTATATTAGTGCGAGAGCGCTCGACTAGCTAAGCCTAACAGATTAACAAGTTCATTGGAAAAGCTTTTTAGCATGATTTGAATAGGAATTTCATCTTATAATCTCCCATTGTGCTAATTCGGTTTTCACATTGAGATCATTCGATTTCTGGAATAACGCTAACATGATTGTGTCTAATTTTTTGAACCCCAAAAGAATTGAAATCTAGGGTGCGCATTCTTCGATGTATTTCGAAAATTACAAACAAAATGTATGACTGATTTTTTATATAAAACAACAGTCATAAGCAATGGTTTAAAAAACGGATCGGTGACCCGGATCGAGCTCCCAAAAATCCGATCTGGATCGGCGAATCGGCGATCCGGATCGAGAATCCGGTGAATCGGTCAGAATAGAGCTTAAAAAAAATCCAAAAAAAATATTAAAATTCATTATAAATATTGTTTTTAAGGAATTCAATAAGAAATGAGGTTACTCCATTAAGAATTTTCATGTTTTTGAATGAATATGCGAATATTGATATGTTCTTTCCCTGCATGAACCGCCATTCAGCATTTAATTTACATCACATAAAAAGATAAACATAGAATTATCATGGAATAAGTATATCAACATACATGGACTACAATAAAGCATAAAATTAGTAACATATGATCTAAAAATAAAATGATAGACGACGTTGTTGCTCTTTTTGGTCACACTGGTGCCATTGATTGAATTCATTTAATAATTCATTGATTCGATCTACAACGAATCATCGATATTAGTAGGCGTCTGACTATTCCCAAATCCCTAAGTGTTAGTATTTTGTTGTGTTCCCAATCTAAAATCCCCGAAGATTGTCCATCCTTCATGCTCACCTGCATTGTCGTGCTCATCCCTACACTGTTGCTATTGGGACTCGATATGTGAATAATATGGCTGGGATAGGGTGGCCTCAGAATCATCATCTCTCTCATTTTCTCTTTGAATAATATGGATTAAAAAAAAAAAATAACAAATTTTCAAAAAAATCGACCATGGATTAAAAAAAAAAATCAGAAATTTTCAAAAATTTTTATCATGGATTACAAAAAAAAATTCGATCATGGATTAAAAAAAAAAAATCACAAATTTTCAAAAAAAATCTATCATAGATTACAAAAAACAATTCGATCATGGATTAAAAAAAAAAAATCACAAATTTTCAAAAAATTCAATCATGGATTACAAAAAATTCGATCATGGATTACATAAAATTCGATCATGGATTACAAAAAAAAACAAACAAGAAAAAACAAAAAATTCGATCGTGGATTACAAAAAAAGAAAAAAACAATTCGATCATGGATTAAAAAAAATTCAATCATGGATTACAAAAAACTCTATCATGGGTTACAAAAAAAACAAAAAAAAAAAATTCGCTCATGGATTACAAAAAAAAAACAAACATTTCGATCATGGATTACAAAAAAAAAAACAAACATTTCGATCATGGATTACAAAACATTCGATCGTGGATTACAAAAAATTCTATCATGGGTTACAAAATAAAAAATAAAAAATAAAAAATTCGATCGTGGATTACAAGAAAAAAAAAAAATTTTGATCATGGACTACAAAAAATTCGATCATGGATTACAAAAAATTCTATCATGGGTT